CTTCCAAATTCATGAGTTAACATCCTTTGTCAGCAGTGCCATCACTGTCTGTTCAGTGGTGATGGAGAGTAAACCTGAATCTCTGGACCTGCTTGTATAGTATTAGTGGAGGAATAGAGAAGTGTCTGGAATATTAGAAAAGGCCCAACATGAGATGATTGCAGAATCAGACTCACGGGCTTACCTCCTGGTCTCACAAATGGGTGAGACAGAGCGGGTGTGCTTGCACTCAGAAAGAATGGGTGTCTGGGATGACAGCTCGGCCTTAGCTGGAGTGGGTCTCCCTTGGCCTGTCCTGGGCGCCATACAAGGGTCAGAGTCTTTCAACTGGAAGAGTGAAGCTTCTCAAAGTTCCTGTTGGCACCTAGACTGTTTATCTTTGCAAGGATAGAACTGGCTGGGAATAAGTCACCTTGAGTATGTAGGTGGTTTCAGTTATCCTTGGGAACCGTTTGGGATCCCGAATGTTCTAGGTGTTTGTCAGAGACACCAATGGGATGTGTCCGGGTTTTGGTTTTTACATTCTTTCCCATCCTAAAATGAGCTGGCTGCAGAGTATTTTTCTAGGTCTGCTGCATTATTTTTTTCAAAGGCATTTCATGCAATTGTAGTAGCTGAGAGTTATAAAGTAGCCACTGGAGAACACAAGGGTTTGAAATCAGGGCTCTGTTGTTGAGGGGTGTTCTTGGATATTTGCTCAGAGCAGGTGGGAAGCTGGATGCCTGACTCCTCCCACCAGCTTCTGTCCCCCTGCTTTTCACTTCTTTTTTAGTTGGAAGTTAAAGTTTTATAAGAGGGTTATAATTATCCTGTAATTTAGTGCAAACAAAAATGCAGTCTTTCTAATCAATACCACCTTTTAGTTTTGTTTAGAAAATTGTGTGTTTACAGCAGGTAGGAAACAAGACAGCAGCATTCCTCCAGTCCACACTAGACCCCTTCTCCCTGGCTCCCTCCTGCTTGCTAGGTGCCAACTATGGGTTGCACCCTCATTTCCTCCTGCCTCTGCCTTACCTGGTGGTACAATGGCATCCTCACTGGACTCCCCGCCTGCGTTTCCAGGTGCATCTCCACTGGCTCCACTCACAGGTTAATAGACCACAATGCAGGCCCTGTCCATGCTGCTTTTCTTTCTAAGATTCTTCAGTGCTTCTGTGTTGCCTGGACTCCTGGCTCTGGCATTCAAGTCCCCCCAGGACCGGAAGAGAACCTCTCTTTCCAGACTTACCTTGTGTGCCCACCAGCATGCTTCAGATGGTGTCTTAGCACTAGGCCTTTCCAACAGGGTGGAGTTCCTTCATAAGAGGAAGTTATTTGAGATAAGGAAGCTAAGTTCCCTGTAAGTGTGGTCTCCCAGTACTGAGGTAGTACACAGAGTAACGATGTTAACTTTCTCTGCCCTCTTCTGTTCCAGTACAAAGTGTGTACAGATCTCAGTCGTGCTCGCGTGGGTACTGTCTCCATTACTCCATCTTCTCTTCCAGGGACGGAGCTTCAAGAAGCAGATGCATGTCCCTTCGGTTCTCCTGTGGGGGTGAGAGAGTAGAAAAGAGGCAGAGAAAAAACTCTTCTAACCTATTCTCACCCATAGAGACCAAGTAGATTTCAGGCATATTCAGAAATGTGCTATGGGGACAGAGAGTTTTTGGTAAGCCCCATCACACAGTGCTGGCCTCGTTGGACAGTAAGTGAGTGATGAGAGGTTGGCAGCCCCTGGCAGTTAGGTGCAGCTTCAGCATTGACTTGACTCAGGCCAAACTATTGGGCTGTTTTTTTCCTCTAGGCAAAACATCTTTTAAATAGCATTTTGGAAAATTTCTAATTAGAATGGTTGAAGTATCAATTTAATTTTTTATTGTGGTAACATATACATAAAATAAAATTAACTATCTTAACCATTTTTAAGTGTACGGTTGAGTGGCATTAAGTACATTCACATCGTTATGCAGCCATCACCTCCATCCATCTCCATAGCTCTTTCCATCTTCCCAAACTGAAACAGTCCCAACTCTAACTCCCAACTCCCCGTTTTCCCTTCCCCAGTCCCTGGCAACCAGCATTCTCCTTTCTGCCTCTATGAATGCGACTCCTCTAGGAACCTTATGTAAATGGAGTCATACAGTGTTTGTCCTTTTGTGACTGGCTCATCTTATTCAGCATAATGTCCTCAAGGTTCACCCATGTTGTAGTATGTGTTGGAATTTCCTACCTTTTAAAGACTGAATAATATTCCACTCTATAGATGGATCACATTTTGCTTACACATTCATCCATTAGTGGACACTAAAGGACACTAATGGGTTGCTTCTACCATTTGGCTATTGTGAATAATGCTGCTGTGAACATTGGTGTACAAATACAAATGCTTGAGCCCCTGGTTTCATTTCTTTAGGGTATATACCCAGAAGTAGAATAATAACTGGACCATATGGTAATTCTGTGTTTAATTTTTTGAGGAAATGCCCGACTCTTTTCCAGAGTGTGACCATGTAATTTTATAAATTTCCTTAAGTCCAGCTCACCCATTTTTACTCCCCTTTCCCAACTTTTTTAATACTTTGTTACCATCCTTGGAGTAAACACTTTCAAAAACGAATTTCATAAATTACCTTATGTATTAGATTAGCAGGGAAACGTTTTGAATTGAGAGCCTGCAACTCCAAATCCCATACTTGAAGAGCAGCGATAGGCAACATGGTTTGGTGTCCTAACTTAATTATCTCAGGTGGGGTTTGTGTCAAAGGATAGAGTTAACACTTGTTAGTTTTTCTGGAAGGAAGGTGACATGGTGCTGGCAAGTACACTGGCCTTACAGCTATTTTCAGGGCATTTTCCCTTGGTCACTTATGAGAAGGTTTATAGAACAATCAAAGGATGTGGAATTGTTCTTAGCTACTCTTATTAAAAACACACACACACACACACACAAAGATTTTTCCATCATGTTAAAAAAAAAAAAACACACAAAGATTTTTCCATCATGGGGAAAATACCAAATATTTCTACAGGAACAGTTGGGTCAGAATGACATTATTCTACTTCAGTGAATTGTCATCTTTTGGGAACATTAAGAAAAGCTCACTAAGGATTGCTGTATCCACTAGCACTACATCCTAACTTTGCTTTTCTTCTGAGTGTTAATGGGATTTTTGTGGATGTTTTATCTGGTTATGCAAGTTCATCTCCTACGTGATGTTAGCAATACCATTTGTTGACAAAGTTATCATGATGTAGTCATCCTAGATAAAAACTTGGAATCATTCAAAAGCCCAAGTGATTAATGAGAGGCAATGGTTGTTTCTATCAGGGTAGAGTATGCGTTGGACTCAGATACAGAAACCGTAAACCAGTTTACTAGCCCTCAGCAATCTGAGCACAGAGGAATGCACAAGGAACAATCTCCATGCCTGGCAAAAGGCCTGGCTTTTGACTTCAGGCGCTGCCATCAGCAACAGCAGAAATGGATGCATTTTCAGGTCTTGCTCTGTATGTAATTGTGGGTGTGCAGTACTAACACATATTATCAAAAGTGATGAGACGAAGTGGAAAGCCCTTTGCAGCTGCTGGCCAGACTGCATCAGTCCATGTTTCAGGTGATGTGCTGAGTCACAAACCTCACTGAGCCTCGGTTTCCTGCCGTGCAATGGGGATATAGTACTGGCCTTAGAAGTGGTTGTTGGGATTTTGTCACAAGCTGTCCTGTGAAGCCCCAGTTGAATGCCTGTACTTGTATGAGCACAGTGATTGAGGTTATGGAGGTTATTACTGTGGGGTCCTAGGGGTCCCCTGTTATCTTTCTCATCATATGCTTGCTGAACACATGCTTTGTGCCAGGGCTGTGCTCACCACCATGAAGCGTTCCCATCCAGGCTTCGATTCTGGGGCCCCACCTCACAAGCCTATGTTCCTTTGTGCAAGTCAGTCACCTCTCTGCCCCTGCTTTCTCGTCATTAAAATGGAGATGACAGTAGCACCTCTTACTGCCGTAGTTATCTTTCTCATCATATGCTTGCTGAACACATGCTTTGTGCCAGGGCTGTGCTCACCACCATGAAGCGTTCCCATCCAGGCTTCGATTCTGGGGCCCCACCTCACAAGCCTATGTTCCTTTGTGCAAGTCAGTCACCTCTCTGCCCCTGCTTTCTCGTCGTTAAAATGGAGATGACAGTAGCACCTCTTACAGGCTGCCGTAAGGGTGAAGTGCAGTGGTACCCGGCAGGGGCTTGGCATGGTGCCCAGCATACACAAAGGTTGGTACAAGTCAGGTGTTGTCATTATTCGCTCTTGACCAACAGGCAGTTCTGTATTAGTGTGGATTAATTCAATTACAGTGCTTTCCTTTAGAAGCCTTGCTGAGACTTGAACAGAAGGACCCGAGGTTTTGGTTGTGAAGTGCTGGAGTCGGGGCAGGGGGGTGAAGTTTTGCAAAGGGGGGCTGCGATGGGGTGGGAGTAGGGACAAGGAGGAGAAGTAGGAGGGTGTGCTGTCAGCTAGTCGAGGGGGGAGAACGGGGAGGTTGGGAGGGGGTCAGGGATTCCCTTCTCTGACTGCTAGTCTAGGGGAGCCCTGTGCAAAAGGACAGAGTGTCCAGCTCTTCCTTCCAATGTCTTACCTGGGTCTTTGATTATAGGACTTGTTTCTTTGTTTAACAGAATTAGTAGCGCAGTAAGCCACACTGGCAGTTAAGGGGCTTTGTAGAACCCTGACATACATCAATGACAATCTCACTTTCATAGGAACATGCATTGTTTCCAGACCACAGTTCCTACCGCACCATATTTATTCATAAGTTGAGGACTGTCTGATTTGGGGTTTGTGGGATAAGACTAGCAAGACAAGGTCAAGGCTTAGGCATGTACCCTCCCTCCCTGTCTCCCTCTGTCTCTCCCTCGTCCTTCTCTCCCTCCCTTTTCCCTTCTCCCTCCTTCCCTCCCATCGATCTATTTCTGTTGCTTTGTGATTTCTTGATTGTAATGTCCAGCAAATATTTCTTGTTACAGAGTATGGCGTTTGTGAAAACTTGCGGAAGCTGGAGATCACAGGCGTGTCTTGTCGAGATGTCTACGCAAAGCGTAAGTTAATCTGTTATCACCTAATTTGTTCTAAAAGCAGACAGTGAGCATCAGCAGTGGATAATAAATTTGACCCAAAGCCCACAGTTCCATTCTCAGACACCTTCTGAAAGCCGTAATTGATTTTAAAGACAGCACTGGTAGTAATAGCACTAAAATTTAATGGGGTGGCTCTCTCGTTTCCCTTTCTGGGCATGTCAGTACCCTTATTTTTCAGCCTATCACAGGTTATTAGGCATCAAGGACCTTTAGATCTGAGAAACATGGCTGCCGTGGAAGCAACTCTGGGGTGCTTCCAGAGAGGTCCCTTTCTCTGGATTCTGATTAGATATGCGGATGGCTCATAGTAACTGGGAAATGAAGCCAAGGCTCCCACCGACCCCCTCAGCTAACGGGGCTGCCTGTGGGCCCACCCCTTTCTCTGGCCCCACACCGCTCCAGCCCTTCTGCTTGGTCTTCCCTTCAGTTTCCTGTAGGTGTGTTGACTCCCCCAGCACCGCCCCCCCTTTCTCGTCCTTCACTCCTTTACTTTCCAGAGTCACCAGCAACACTCGTGAGCGCTCAGTTTCTCCCCAGCCATCTTCACTGCTGGCCTTTCTCCACTGCCTCTCTGCATGAGGCTGTTAAGGCTCCTGTCAATGCTGATGTCACCCACCCAGTTCTCCACTGAAAACTTAAACCAGGTGATGCTCCTTACTAAGTGCCATGCCCAAGGACTGAGGGCCCTGCTTCTCCATGGAAACGTCGGTGGTCCAGGACTGAGGAGTAGGCAGGCAGTGGGGCTTCCCTGTGAGCCAGGTTGCCGAGTGTGCACTGAAGTGCTAGAAGCTTCCTTCCAGAGTCTGGGGACTGGTTGGTGTCACTTTGTGTAGTCCCTTTTTTCCGTGGATTTGCTTCTGTCAGAGTCCCCCTCTGAGACGCCCTCCTTCACTCGTCTGTGCTCCGTGCACAGGTAGAGCATGGCGTTTCCATAAAGCGGCCGGCTCTGCAGGGAGGCATGGGCGGTGCTCAGTCCCTGTCTCCGGGCTGATTTCATCACCTCGCTATTTCCTCATACCGTGGAGACCTCTCCACACCATGGCCCCATGGCCTTTGGGGTTGTTGGATTGGTTAGTGTTTCTGGATTAGAATTTGCTCATACTTGAGGTGATCTCTTGTCAAATGGTCTAAGTTTCTCATGGGTCATCTTCTGAGGAGCCATGACATGCACAATTCCTGGTGGCTCGGCCTTGCCCTCCAAGCTGTTGTTCCCTCCTGCCTGCCTCAGGGAGCCTTGGAGGGGCTGTTGTCAGGACCCCTCTGCCCTGCCACATCCCACATCCAGTTCTGCCAACTCCTAGCTTCTTCCCCTTTACTGTGGGCTTCAGGCTTCACCTTGCCCTCAGCCACCATTTTCAACCCGGCTGCTGTGTCCTGCGTTGCTGGCCCTGACCCTGGACCCCAGTGCAAGAATGATCTGCCCGAGACTTACCACTCCTCCTTCCCCATGCATGTTCGGACTTTGGTTTCTTCTCTTGCCTCTGCTCCACATCTCACCAACCCAAGAAGACCTGTATCTCTCCAGGGAAAATGGGTCTGGGAGGCCCGAGCGGTCACCTCTCCTGAAAGTGTAACTTCTCCCTGTCTTCGCATCTCAGCCAGGAGAACAATGGCTCTATGGTTTCTGCAAAGCCTAGCGTTCTAGAAGCAGGAAGCTGGTTCCTCCCCACCTTCCACTCCCACCCTGTCATCTGTTATTTAGTATCCCATGGCCCTGGCTCCACCTTCGATTCCTCCTTTGTTCACCTAGAGCTCGGTGTGGTAAATCTAGCCTGAGCGTAGAGGTGGAGGGATTCATCTTTGCTGTTAGCATTGGTGTGAGAGTCAGAGCCAAACTCTCGCTGTAACAGTCTCTTATGTACGCACACATAAGAAAGGTTTCCTGGCGTTTGTGGATGGCCAACTGGCTTCCATAAGTATCTAATAAGACAAGTTCTTATCTTCTAAGTGCTTTTTGAATGTGTTAGGCCATTTGATAATATTATCTTAAAGCAACATGAAGACAGCTTTCTCTTTAAGAGTTGCAAGCAGTCAAAACAGCATCCTGGCGGGAAGCTGGTGCCCTGCCTGCTAGGCTTTAGGGGCAGTGACATTTAGAGGAGAGCACTGGGAAATAATGTGGGCAAAGGGGGTTGGTTGGGCTGTGCTGGCAGCTGTCCTGTAGAGGAGACATCTGGGCACAGGTGGGCAGGCAGGTGGTATTCATTTACACAGACCCTAGGAAAAGCCCCAAGGCTGAAAATATACCTCTATAAGTAGAGGGCAGGGAAAAGACTTGAAGAAAGAGGCTGGACACTCCAGTCTGGTAATTAATGGAGTTTATTAAGGGAAACTTACATACAAGTCATGTCTTGGACCGCTACAAGGCGAAGTGGATACCCGTGGCACCTGGCAGGCACCAAAGTATTATAGAGGGTAAAGGGGCAGGGGAAGGGATAGTCATGGGAACAAATACGTGAATGCTACCAGGTATGGGAAATTACTTTACGTGCTTGACCAGGTCAGGACGACCTGTTCCAGGAACTAGCACATAGCAGGAAGTGCTGATTTATGTCTAAAAATCAGTTATGATCAGACAGTCTCTTAAGTCGGGGCCAGCTTGCAAAACAGACAACAGCCACGTCAAGAAACAGTCTTTTCTCCACATGTGAGTAGTGGCTGCCAGTAGCAGGAGATGGTGTGGCAGGAGGTAGGCAGGGAGACGGGGACAAGGGCAGTGGTGAGGGGACACATGTGCATGCACCTGAAGGAGGACATCCCGAAATTTCTTTGACTGCTGATTCTCGACCCTTTGAAAATGGTTGGGAAATCCAGAGCATAATTCATATTGTTTGTTATTTAGTATCCTAGAGTATTTAATTTGCCCTGGCCAAAGAGGGTTTCACAGTGTAGGAACACTATTTTTGTGAATTTGCTTCAAAGACCTCATCCAGGAGAAAATTACTTAGCTTCTGGAATAGGTGATAGAAGAAAGTCAACCTTAGCTTCTGGCATAGGTGAGAAAGTGAGCCAGCCTTGATTTAGAAGTGCAGATCTGAGTTAGGAGCTGGCAGACATCATCCTTAGTCAAAAACAACGACACACATAAAGGAAAATGCCAGGCGTGCACCAGGAAAGCTGGATATCTTAGTTGAGGCACAAGGGTTCCCTAAATGGTCACCCCAAATATCCATGAGCCGCAATCTCTGCGGTCCCACCTCAGTGAGCTCTATTGATCCATGTCAGCTGAGGGAGGAGAATGACCTCGGATTGCGTCCCAAGCTTGCCATCATGAGTTTCTGGTGTGAATCCGTTGATTAAAAGGAAGATATGTCACAACATTTTCTTTCCAGCCAGGCCTCTCATCTTTGGCAAGTGCTTTCCTCCCAAGGTACGGAGGGTTGAGTATGTAAGGGAAATGCATGAGCGTGGTGAGGGAGAAGAGTGCTGAGTCATGTGAAAGCTGTTTATACCATCATGAAAGCGGAACCATCCTTAGCCCTTTCCCTGCTGTGTCTGTTCAGGTATAAACCCTCGCGTGAAGTCGGGACGTTTCATGAAAATTCTTCCCGATTACGAGCACATGGAGTACAGAGATGTGTACACCTGCCGTACGTACCTCCTGCTGCTTTGGCTTTAGCGGGGGAGCACAGCAAGAGGCTGCATGGAGAGGGCCCTCTAACTCACAGCACGCGGTTGCTTTGGTCTTAAGCGCGAGCTGACCTCCTTGGCTTTTGCTGTCTTTTCACTTTTCTCCAGTGTTCTCTGTGTCTCGGCCATAGCCAGGATCATACCTGAGAGGCGGCCTGGGGCAGATGTACATGCGGGCCAGGTTTCCGCAGCATCTTTGAGTTTTGGGTAGTACCAGCAAGATCACTCTGTTGATGCACATTTTAACATTTATCATTTATCGAGGGTGAGAGGAGAGAACAGAGTAGATGCCTTAAAACCTTTCTATTCCAAAAGGAAACGAAGCCTACTTCTAGGCTTCGTTATTCAATCACGTTTTGATGGCATATGTGAATTTAAAAAAAGTTACACATTTACTCAAACTAGACAAAAGTATGTAGAAACAGCTGATTACTTAGAACCCGGTCGTTCTTTTGATTGGCATTACTTGAGCCCTGGAAATTTTCCTAAGCCACATTCCATACTGATTAAGGCTGTCTCCGCTTTTTATTAGGTTGAGCTGAGATGGAGAGCGTGAATTTTGGGTATCAAAACAGACATTAGAAATATCTTCTTGCACTGAAAGCCATGTTACATTTGTAGAAGCACAGCCTGGCCGAGCGTGCCCTGTGTCAGCATTGCCTTTGTGGAGCAGAACCACTTCTGAGTCTTATAAGTACACAATTTCTAACAAAATCTACTCAGAAGAGAAGGAATAGAGTCATTAATGGAATTTCTCCTGACCCCTGTCAGACTCTGGACATGTAGGTAATGTGTTTACAGGTCCCATTTTACTTAGGGGACCATCCCGGAGTCAGTGCACAGATACTAGGACTGGTCAGCATGCTTTGGGGTGCCATCTGAGCACTGTACACAACTGCTGACACCACCCACAGAGTCTGTGTCATCAAGCCCGGAGCTGTACTGCTTGAGTGAAGACCGCTGGTGAGAGGGGCTTGTCAGTGTATGGGAGCTGTCAGGAGGAGCTGGGGCAGCTGCGGTTGGACGGCAAGGGGGGTGGGGCAGGCTAAGTCTGAAGGCACAAATTCTGTTCTTTTCCAAATCCTCTTGGCAGTAGATCATCTAGAACATTTTGTCATAGACTGGCCCACCCTCCCTGCTTAGCAGTCAGTGAGCGAAGGTGCCTTCTCCAGGCCCATGGAAGAGGACATGACGTAGCACTTATTGATGAGAATAGTCGATCAATTGCCACAGCTGTTGGGAACAGCCTGGCATGGGCTTTTAAATACAAATGGACGAGCACTTAGAGGCTCATTACATCATACATCTGTCACAGGATTCTTCTAGAACAACAGTCTATCTGGAACTTATACCTGAGATCGAAAATAGGACTCTGACCCAGTTCTGAGATGCTCAGGGGCCGGGACTTAGGAAGTGCTAGAGTTATGTTGGGGGTGTGTTCTTTTTATCCCCAAAGGGTGGTCAGAAGTTTTCTAGCTTAAAAGGATGAGTCATGAGTCCAGATTTTTCACCGTGCTTCTAGAAGACAACTTCCAGAGCATCTGGACTTTTTAGCCACATATTGTGATGTCCCCCAGCTGCTGGTAGGTAACAGCTTAGAACAGACTTGTTCTAATTGGAGACTGCTGTCGCCTCTAAAGTTTGGGTGCAGTTATAAAAATATAGTAATCATTGTAGAAAACTTAGAAGATCCAGAAAAAATAATGAAAATCACCAGTTGTCAGCACTGGTTGCATTTCTCTGTGGGCATATTTAAACTGTGAGTGGTCTGCTACCTCCATGACTACCTCCATCAGGGTAAAGTTCACATGCATGAAAAGAGAAAAGCCATTTCAACCCGGGTTTGAAACCTCTGTATGCGCAGGTGCATAGTATTCCAGTACTCCTAGTGTGTTCTAATGGAGGGCGGTGCAGAATTTCTCCTCTCAGCGTTAGCCAGATCGTCCAGAAAAGTCTGCCATGACAATTGATGCTTGTGAGGTACTTGGAACCTGGCACGGTTTCTGTCTCCCTTATCCACTTGCACCACTTCCTGGAGCTGTTGAGAACTGGGTTCCCCTGCTCTCTTGAAACCCTCTGGTCTGCATTCTCTTGGACCAAAGAGGATCACCAGTCTCCAGAGTAACACACTGTCCCAGAGAGAAGCAGGTCAGCATCCCCGAAGTCTGTAGATTCTGACTGGTAGGAGCTTGTGGCCTCAGATTAGCTCCTTTTGCTGTCATTTTTGTTTATTTTTCTCAGTATCAGGCCATATGTTGCTGCCTGATATTCTTTTTCTTTTAAATTAATTAATTTATTTTTATGGTGACAGTGGTTAATGAAATCAAATTAGTTTCAGCTGTACACTTTAACAGTAAGGCATATGTATATTTACACTGTATGTTCACCTCCCATTGATATTCTTGATAATTCATGTCTATAGGACATTGGGAGCATCGTGGGTGGTGTGTTGTTCTTATGACGTTATCTAACATATCTTTCTGTGCAAATTGATGCTGACTGTCAAAGTGCGTTTTGAACTTAAAAATAACTCTTGTGGGTTAGAATCCTAACAGTGCTCCAGATTGCTCTAGTAAGGACAAGGAATTTGGTGGAACATTGCTTAACCACACGGTGAGGAGATAGGCCACTTTTAACCAACATCCCAGCTCAGGGCAGTCAGGCAGGAGGAAATGTCTGCTTCTTCGTGGGAGGCTTAGCTTTTTGTTTTATTCAGGAAGAGCCCATGCTTTAGTTGGAGTTCAAAGTTATGAAAAACATGACAGCTCTGGCAGCCAGGCAGGAGGAGTTCCCTCTTACTGGCGGGAAGGTCAGCCTTCTTCTATCAGGGCCTCCATCTGATTGGATGAGGCCCCCCACATTAGGGAGAACAATCTGCTTTACTCAGTCCGCTGATTTAAATGTGAATCTCATCTGGAAACACCCTCACAAACACACCCTGAATAATGTTTGACCAAATATCTGTGCACATAAAGGCACCACATAGTGCCTTTACCTGGCAGTCAGGGCCCTGCCTGAGTTAGTCGCTCATTCATTCATTTCATTCACTCAGCAAATCCATGTACAAAGGAAATCGAAGTGAGGGACATTTTCCAAAATGCTTACTGCAGCTGGTCATCTCTGTGTGGTGGGATTTCGGTTGGTACTGGGTTTCCTTTCCTCCAGTTGTCTTCAATGAATATGTATGTGTTCCTTTTGAAATAAGGTAAAGGTAAAATTTTATTTTATTTTTTATTAAAAATTACTCAGGTGGCATTAATTAACAAATCAAATAAGTTTCAGGTGTGTCATTCAACAGCCAGTCATATATATATTGCATGTATGTTCACCACCCAGAGTTGATTTCCTTCTGTCACCAAATATTTGACCCCTTTTACCCTTATCTATCTCCCCGCCACTGACCCAATTTAATTCTTTATCTACAGTCCCATGACATTTTGGACTCTGCCCCTCCTGTTAAAGAATCCCACGCTTCCTCAGTTGTGTAAACTGACAGAGGCTCATCACTTCACAAGGGCACTCAGTTTGCATCTTGCAAGACAGCAGTTCTTTGTCATTGGAGCTGCTCATGTAGAGACTGGGTTTAAAAATGACCCAGTTGTCTGTTTTATTATACTTTTTAAAGATATTTGTATTCTTAGAATTCTTTAGAAACTCGTAGGTGGATTTGCTTAAATCCACATTTGTTTACAAGGCTCTGTAACAAGCCTTCATAATTTCATAACTCTCTCTCCCTCCTTATGCCCTTTCTTCTGATTTACTGTGAAATGAAGACTGGCTGGTTCTAAAATGAAGACCTGCTCTTTCTCTCTCCCTGCAGTGCTCCACCGATACAGACACATTTTGGGATTGTGGCAGCCAGATATCGGACAGTACGGGACTGCTGA